TGTTTGTTTTTCAAGTTGGGAGATAACATAGTGGCTTTCAGATCTTTTTTGACTGCAGCCCACGGTGAGAATTATATTTATTTATTTTAAAGATTTTTTTTTTTAATGTGTCAGAGAGAGTGAGAGCACAAGCAGGGGGAGCAGCAGAGGGAGTGGGAGAAACAGACTCGCCACTGAGCAGGGAGTCAGACATGGGGCTCAATCCCAGGACCCCAGGATATGACCTGAGCCAAAGGCAGATGCTTAACTAACTGAGCCAACCCAGCACCCCGAGGATTATATTTTATATATAATTCATTAGATAATTTATTGTGAAATAAAAGTTTCACAAAGTAATATTTACCCTTCTCATTTTTTAAAAGATTGTATTGAGATGTTTTCAAATGATGTTTGCATTCCTCCTCCCCCAACGTTAGAAAAAATTATCTTCTATCATTTTTCTCTCAAAATTTCAGTGACTTTGAAAAAAATATAAGTAGTGGGATAAATATGTTCCAAAGCCTGTTAGTTATGCTTATCCAAACCACCCATATTGCATCCTATTCTCTGTTTGTCTGTCTCTCTCTTTTTTAAATAAGACTTTATGTTTTTAGAGCAGGGAAATGTTAAAGAAAGTTCCCGTATATCCCCCACGCCTACACATGCATGACTTCTCCCATTATCAACAACCCCCACCAGAGGGTACACTTGTTATAGTTGATGACCCTACATTGACACATCATAGTCCGTACTTAGGGTTCATTCTTGGTGTTGGAGAGAGTTACAATGACATGCATCACTGAGGTATCCTGCAGAGTATTTTCACTCCCTTAGAATCCTTTGTGCTTCATCTGTTCATACCCTCTGCTACCAAACCCCTGGCAACCACTGATCTCTTTATTACCTGCATAGTTTTGCCTTTTCCAGAATGTCACATATTTGCCATCATGTAATACGTAGTCTTTTCAGATTATCTTCTGTCACTTGGCAATATGCATTTAAAGTTTCTCCATGTCTTTTCATGACTTGATGGTGCTTTTCTTTTTAGTTCTGAATAATATTCCATTGTCTGGATGTACTAATAGCTTATCCATTCAACAACTGAAGGACATCTTAGTTGCTTACTCTTGCCATTTTTAATGTACTCTGGCACTTTCCATACTACTCTTATTATTTCATTAAGAAAAAAATGCTGGTCTATACTTAATTGTTTTCATAACCCACACTCTCACTTCTAGCAGAACAGTGTCAGGTGTATTTGTATGCCAGCGGGAAGGGTGCATAAGAGGAGGAAATTGTTGATGTGAGACAGGGAGAGGGTAAGTAAGCACAGGTGCTGTCTTTTTGAGACAACCTTAGTGATGGAATCCAGAGGGTAATTTAGGGCGTGGCTTTTTTCCCCCCCAAGAGAATAAATCTACACATTTATTTATTTACTTTCCAATTACCTTAAATACTTGAGGGGTACAGCCTCACACGGATTCTGTGGCCAATGGCATAGCGGGAAAGTTGCTTCGGAATTTGGCATGAACCATGCCAACTGTTTCCATGAGCACGAGTTACCTTTCCTCTGATTCCTCTGGTTTTGTTTGGCTTGCCACCAGCAGTCACTGTGGTGTTCTTTGTTTTGTACACATAAGCACATCTCTTGCCTAGGTAGAGTTCAGATTCATCTCTAGCATAAATACGTTTAATTTTAAGAAGAGCTGTGTGTTCCCTCTGGTTCCGGAGACCGGGCTTATAGCCAGCAAAAATGGCCTTGGACCACAGCCTCCAGAGCAATTTGTCCTTTTAGGAGTCCTGTTCCCAGCAGACCTCCACAGGTTCCAAGATGGCCAGGTGTTGGCATTTAATTGCTGCAAGGACAGTTGCTTCTCAATCAATACAAGGAAGATAGAGCGTATATGCACAGATGAAGGGATGGTAGTTGGAAGATGACAGGGCTCTGGTTAGAATGTTCCTGTGTTTTCCAAAAAAAAAAAAAAGAATGTTTCTGTGTTTTCAAAGTAGTGTGAGGCCAGCCGAGAAGGGAGTGTTGCAGGTCTGGAAAAGTGTGACATGGTCATTTTGGAGAATAGTAAAGCAATGTTTGCTAGAGAAAGGTGAGAAATTTGTACAGCAGTGTTGAGTGCCCATTTTAGGCTTATGTCATGAATTTACAGTGAAACTGGTCAGTTCAGGGCTAAATGAATATGCCCTTAGTGAGTGTTAGCCATTACTGTTACTCTCTTCTCCATCCAGGTTTTAGATGCTTGGGTGTCCTAGGTGGTTGGTGAAAAAAATGCATGAGATTTTACTTTGGGAGACACTGACTCCAAACTTGTTCTGTGACTTAAAGTAGTTGAGTGAGTATCTCGGAATCATCCTTTTGGAGGATGAGTCTGTCCTATTCTTGTGACAGCCTGACTTTGGTCTTGTGTACCGCAGGGTTCACGGGCAGATCCAGAGATGCTTTGGCTGTAGAAGCTTGTCTAAAAAAGTAGTTAAGGGGTGGTGAAGGAGTGAGGGGCTTGACTTGGAGAGGCAGAAAGGGTGATAGAATTCAAGTATTAAAAATCTTGAAGAATATCAGTTGGTTGAATGTGGGGCTTATTCTTCAGCTTCCACAATTATCTCAGCCACTTAATATTTTTAAGAGGTAAATTCAGGGCATCTAAGTAGCAGAACTGAGATTTTAAACTCTAAAGTACTCCTTGCCAGATGGCACAGCTCCTAAAATGAGGTGAAGAGATGAATGGGAACAATTTTATTAGTCATAATCTCTTAGCATTGTTCATCTTTTGTGTAGAGGTTATTGGACTCTTTGGGCCAAAGCCAGAGGAGTGGCTGCCATTTACTTTTTGGTTTCCAGACTAGCTGTAGGGGTAATCAGATCAAACAGAGAAAATCTCTTTTAAACCAGGGCTTTTATTACTTCAGAGGAGAAGGTCATTAAGCCTTCTTAACTCTTAATGAGATTACTTGAGCAAGTTTCTTAAGTAATTCTTACACCCATAATTCCATGTATGCAACGGTCTTCCTGGGAGAAGACCTAGACCAGATCTGACCAAATTTCATAGACCCCATAGTTCTGTGTTACCCTTGCCTAACAGAAATCATATAGTGATGGTGGTGGTCTCCCACTGACTCTGGGGAGCTGAAGGAAGTATAAAATAATTATCCTCAAATGCACAGAGTTAAATAGGACCTGAAAGAAATCACCTAGCTTGTTTCCTAGGTAGGATCTCACCTATTTCTGAAGAGCTAACTTTTACCAATAATTTTTATGGCCAGCCCAGATTTCTTTTGCTGGAATTTTAACCAAGCCAACATGTCAGTTTCATGGGGAGTTTTACATGTACTGTACATATAAATATATTAGGATTAGGAGGAGTCTCTCCTTAATGTCCAAAGTATAGTCACATTTATAGGTCAGGAATATTGAAATCAATGTGCAAATGGAGGACTGGCTTCTTCCACAGTGGGGAGGGAAGTCAGTTTGACCTTTCGCCCTGCAGGATTTTATATGTCTGTAGACAAGAATCATTTTCCGTTGCCATCAGTTATCTACAATTTACAGAACTGTAACATAGCTCAAAGGCAACAAATGCCTGGAATCTTGGAAGGGTAGCACTAGGAAAGGCATAGTTTTCAATAAAAGCACAAATTTTTTCTTATACTCATTTATTCTTAATATTGTGCCACAGGGAAAGTGTTGGTTACCAGATGAAAATGGTCTCAAAACATGAATTATTTGCAGTATGACTCTAAAATACATTTTTACAGGGTTTATGACATCATTTTGAACCATGACTTAAGTGTATGAGGGTGTAGATAAGTCAAGTGCAACCTCAGCTGTCTGAACTATAGTTCAGGATCACAAATAGACATCCTAAAGGCTGTGCTCTAACAATGCGTGGCTATCTTTATTGAGTCAATGAATGTACATTAATAATGGTGACATTGAATCAGGCTTACGTTATCTTCAGATTATTAAACTAGCAGGTGTTTTTTTATGTTAAATTGATTTTTTATTTATAAGAGTGTTTTACCTGAGTTATGTTTTATTTATTTATTTATAATCATTTTTTTTTTAATTTATTTTCAGCATAACAGTATTCATTGTTTTTGTACCACACCCAGTGCTCCATGCAATCCGTGCCCTCTCTAATACCCACCACCTGGTTTCCCCAACCTCCCACCCCCCACAGAGACTATGGACTCTGAAAAACAATCTGAAGGGTTTGAAGAGTAGCAGGTGTTTTTAAGATTGTTGTAATTACGATATCCTGAGATAAGGTGGATTGGGGGTAAGAGGTGGATGTTAAAGGGATCTTTTGGGATATTAAAGGGATCTTTGCAAGAAATGCGAAGGAGAAAGGGAATCCAAATGGATATCTTTTGTTTTTATAATCCAACTTTCCTGGAGGCTTCTGCTTTTATACTCAGATAGTGTTCTTCATGTTAGTACTCTTTTGTTTCTTGGGTGTTAGAATGGTGTCTTTTGGATATATTTAAGAAAGTGGTATCTTTCGTGCTTTATCAAAAGCCTTTCAGAGTATGAGGTTTGGGGGGAAAACCTATAGTAGCAAACTAGGAATATCCTGTTTCCATGTTTGTACCTTAGGAAAGGAGAAGATAAGAAAGAGAGGCTTCCATGACCCCTAGCTCTATGTATTTTTCTGCTTTCCAGTTTGTAAATTTATTGCAAGTGATTCCCAAGGATTTTTTTTAAGATTTTATTTATTTATGAGAGAGAGAGTATACCAGTGAGCAAGCGGGGGTGGAGGGCAGAGGGAAAGGAAGAAGCAGACTCCCAGCTGAGCAGGGAGCCCAACTTGGGACTTCATTTCAGGACCCTGGGGTCATCATGTGAGCTGAAGGCAGATGGTTAACCCACATATAACTTAGATACCCAGGCGCCCCAACAAGAATGTCTTGAGCAAGTTTGTACACGTCTTGATACTCAGTATGTCAGCATAACAAAAATACAGCTTTTACAGTCCTTGCTTTATTTACTGAGAAGATCTTTTGAATTTTAGGTAAAAAACATCAGAATGAATTTCGGCTTCTGGTGGATCAGGCCAAAAAAGGATACAAGAAAACTGTTGAAATATCAAAAAAAAAAGTAACAAAAGAAGAAGATGGATCTATGGAAAAGCTATTACCTATTTGTGTGGGTAAGAGACTAATTACAGTTAGTAACTAAAAACAAATGTGTTGAATTTCACTATTTTAAGTTTTTATTTATTTAACTTAGAGCATGTGTATGTGTGAGAGCAGGGAGAGGGGCAGAGGAAGAGGGAGAGAAAGAATCTCAAGCAGATTTCCTGCTGAGCACAGAGCCCAACACGGCTTGATCTCATGACCCTGAGATCATGACCTCAGCCAAAACTAAGAGTTGGACACTTAACCACCCAGGAGGTGCCCCTGAATTTCGCTATTTGTTTTTAATATGAAAAGAAAGTAAAACAATGGGAATCTACCTTTTTATTAGATATCTGAAGTGGAAAAAGTATTTTTAGACATACAGCTGTTGTTGAATGTAAACTAAGTTTGTTACTGTGGGAAAAATGATTGGGAGATGCCCTGATGACAAGTTTCTAAAATCTTTGGTTTAATGGTAAATAGGAAGATTCTTAGTTGTTTCAGCCTAAGGATGTTTTTTAGGTGTAGGATTTATTGCTGCACATCTTCAAATATTATACAAATAATTTATTTTTATTTTTATTTATTTATTTGACAGGGAGAGAGAGCACAAGCAGGCGGAGTAGCAGGCAGAGGGAGAGGGAGAAGCAGGCTCCCTGCAGAGTAAAGAGCCTGACATGGGGCTTGATCCCAGGACCCTGGGATCATGACCCAAGCTGAAGGCAGTTGCTTAACCAACTGAGCCACCCAGGTGCCCCATATTGTACAAATAATTTTTATTTTAGAATAGTTTTTGTTATAGGTCACTGGTATTTTGGATGGAATGTTCTGCTAAAAAGTCTGAAGCTTATAAACTTCAAGTAAATTCCCATTGTTTTACTTTCTTTTCATATTAAAAATAAATAGTGAAATACAGCACGTTCTTAATTTGGGTCCATTTTAAGTTTGAGATTAATATCATATTTCTTTTGTCAGGGCTTTGGGCCAATGAACAAAACAGGATCAATGGAGGAAAGTGCACATAAAAATTCCTTTTTTTTCCTTTATTGTGATAAACTATACATAATATTTATCATTCTAACCATTCATAAATGTACAATTCAGCAGCATTAAATACATTCAGAATGTTTTATAACAGCCACCACCATCTAGACCCAAAACTTTTTCATCATCCAGCATAAGCTCTATACCTATTAAAAATAGTAACTCTCTTGCTCTTTCCCAGCCACACTCTGGTAATCTCTGTTCTATTTTCTGTGTGAATTTGCTTACATTAAGTACCTCATATAAGTGGAATCATATTAATATTTGTCCTTCTGTATCAACTTATTTCACTAAGCATAATATTTTCAAGGTCCTGTTCTACCAAATATCAAAATTTCATTGCTTTTATAACCAAATAATATTCCATTGTGTGTACATGCCATGTTTTGTTTATCTCTTCATCTGTAATGGGTTTCGCCTTTTGGCTATTGTGAATAATGCTCTGTGAAGATTGGTGTTCAAATATATGTTCAAGTGTCTGCTTTCCATTCTCTTGGGTATATACCTAAGGATGGAGTTTCTGATTCTTAGGATAATTCTATGTTTACTTTTTGAAAAACCACAAAACTCTTTCCAAAGTGGCTGTACCATTTTACACCCCTCCAGCAGTGCTTAATGATTCCAGTTTCTCTATATCCTTGCCACACCCGTTCCTATTTTTTTTTAACCATAGCCATCAAGGTAGGTGTGAAGTGAATATCTTATGGTTTTGATTTACATTTTCCTAATGACTAAAAATGTTGAACATCTTTTCATATACTTACTGGCTATGTGTTTTTCTTTGGAAAAATGTCTATTCATGCTCTGCTTATTTTTCATTTGGTTTGTTTGGGGTTTTTGTTAGGTTTTTTTAAGGAACTCTATATATTCTGGATATTAATCCTTTTCCGTGCAAAATATATTTGCATATATTTGTAAATATTTTCTTGGTTGTCTTTGCTTTCTTCATAGTTTTTTTTTGTTGTTGCACAAAGGTGCTTAATTTTGATGAAGTCCAGTGTACCCATTTTTTTCTTTTGTTACCTGTGCTTTTGGTGTTATATCCATGAAATTGTTGCCAAATTGTTCATGGAGATATTTCTCTTTGTTTTCTTCTAGGAGTTTTATTGCTTTAGCTTTTAATGTTTAGGTATGTGATCCTTTTTGAGTTAATTTTGGTGTGTGGTGTAAGGGTCCAACTTCATTCTTTTATGTGTAGATAAAGCACCAGTTTCTAAAAAGACTGTCCTTTCCAAAGAGGATGCTCTCGATATTGTTGAAAATGAATTGACTGTATATGTAAGGGTTTATTTCTGTACCCTCTGTTCTACTCTCTGGTCTGTATGTTTGTTCTCATGTCAGTACTATACTGTTTTAATTACTGTAGCTTTGTTATACATTTCAAAGTCAAGGTGTATGAGTATTCCAACTTTATTCTTCCTTTTCAAGGTTGTTTTGACTATTTGGGTCCCTTGAGATTCCATGTGAATTTTAGGATGAATTTTTCTATTTCTGCAAAAGTACCTTTGGAATTGAAGCTATAGATTGCTTTGGGTACTTTTGATATTTTAAAGAGTATTGTCTTCCAGTTTATGAACTGGATGTCTTTATTTATGTCTTCTTTAATTTCTTTCAACAATGTTTTGTAGTTTTCAGCACTTCAGTTTTTCACCTCTTTGGTTAGATTTATTCCTAAGTGTTACTGTTTTACATGCTGGTGCATTCTTTTCCACTGCCCCCCGCCCCAAGTCTCCTGGTAACATTTAGTAGGTTGCTGCCTGAGTATGTACCTCATGCTCTTTGTGAACAACTTGAATGGGTTTGTGTTGAAGGATTTTCTTAGAAAGTAGTTTAGTTCCTGAAAAAAATCTGGCTTAATATCTCAGATTGGGAGAACATTTTGCTTACTAGTTGAATGTCTCTTGAAAATGATTGATTACTTATACTCAGGGCTGTGCATTATATGTGTATATGGCTATAAATACTGCTGTCTGTGGGGTTCAGAGAGGATTGCTGCTTCTAGGTTGTTGTACATGAATGCATGTGTCTGAGAAGGGTGGAGAGTGTGGGAGATAGGAGGACAGACAGACTAGCACAACTACCTGGGAAGTTGAGCTTTGTACAGCAGCATACAAGTGTAATTTTTGTTCTTTGGCATCAACTTGGTCATTGAAGTGCCAATATAAGTGAAGAAGATACATGTTCTCTCAAGTAAATCCTTCATCTGTTTTTGTCGCATGTCTTCCGGGATGCTTGATGTCAGAGCCTCAGAGTGGTCTGTTCTGTTTGACGTTCTTTTCTGACATCTGTGGACAGATACGAAAGATAACTGACTTTTAGTGCGCACTAATTGTTGAACGATACTTGTCCCCCAAGATGGAATTTATATTGGAGAGGCTTATATAAGAGGGGAAGAAGTATGAAAAGAATATAAGTCAGGTGCAAAAATAAAAGATAGTTTTAGGTTGAATTCCTGCTCCCTGGTTTGTCAGCTTGATTGCATTCTCTTGTCCAGCTGAGTGTTGAATTGTCTGGGTTCACTGAGTTTACTGGGTGATTGATTCTTCTTAATGTGATCCGGGGTATCTCTTTACAAGAGATCGTCAAGCTCCTGGGTGGTTTTTGTGGTTAGCTTCTTCTTTTCTTTTCCCAGATAAACATTAGAGGGTATAATTCAATTTTGGTAGTGATTTGGCATATTAAAAGCCCGACATCAAGAGTGTATTTATAGAAATTACACTTTTGTGACGTATGCTGTTCTTTAGTATAACAAAAACTGTTTATTTCTGGAGAAATCTTGACTGTATGGACTTGGAAAGGTTTCTTTTTGAAGAAGCTGTCTTATTCTTTTTCCATGAATTTTCTCTTTATGATAAAGCCTTGACAGTTTTTTTAGTGTCTTTTGTTGAAGGTCGCTTGCCTGTGCAAGCACACTGGATGAGTGATGTGTGAAAGCTCTGCTTCTCTGTGAGGAAACTTATGAAAGGGGGCTCTATACTACTAGCACATGTGGTTTGCATGCTAAGTACTTACTCAGTTCCTGAATCTTAAAGACAGTGCAGCTGAAATCCTAGCAGAGTCCTGGAACGGGTCATGAGGGAGAGTCCCGGGCACTGAGGAATCCTTCATGGGTGTTATTTTCTGCACTTACATTTGCAAATATTTGGTCATACCTGTATGTATATTCTTGCAGACACTGTCTGTATGCCTCCAGCTTCCCTTATTTTTATTTTATTTTTAGCAAGAGACCTCAGAAATTCAGAATATGACAAGGGATACATAGAAATATGACATGTATTAGATCAAACAGAAATACTAGTTATGTCTGATTAGTTTTCTTTTTCCGTATTGAATATTCGATCCTATTTAGTGGACTAAGAGAAATATCCAGATGGATTCACTACCACATAGTAGTCAGTGACAAATATAATGGTTCTTTTTTTTTTTTTTTAAAGATTTATTTATTTGAGAGAGAGTGGGCAGGAGAGTGGGAGGAGGGGCAAAGGGAGAGAGAGAATCTTTAAGCAGACTCTCTGCTGAGCAGGGAGCCCAACACAGGCCTTGATCCCAGGACCCATGAGATCATGACTTGAGCCGAAACCAAGAGTTGGATGCTCAACCGACAGCCACCGAAGTGCCCCAAGCCCGTGGTTCTTTTATTAATTGAATTTTTAATCCTTTTTTGTTGTGCTTCATATGTTTGTCCATCTTCTCTCATCTGTGAAATATGCAGGAATTCTTCAGTGATACTGTATAGAAGCCTCATTAGAATGACACAGTTCACTACTCCTGATTTTAAAAGGAAATTTTGTTTTTACTTTTTATTATATTTTATTTTTTAAAGATTTATTTGTTTATTTGAGAGAGTGAGTGAAAGCACAAGCAGGGGGAGTGGCAGACAGAAAGGGAGAAGCAGACTCCCTGCTGAACATGGAGCCTGATGACACAAGCTCAATCCTGGGACCATGAGATCATGACCTGACTCGAAGGCAGATGCTCAGTCTTATGGGCTTGATCCTGGGACGTGGGCTAATGACCTGAGCAGAAGGCAGACTCTTAACCAACTGAGCCACCTAGGCCGCCCCAGAAATTTTATTTTTACATTAAATTAAAATGGAAATACCTGGGGTGGACAGTATAAATAGATGGCCCATGGTAGTGTTGATTCTTACTCTCTGTTGCTAGAGTTTTGGAATCAGTGTTAGATAAACTTCCATTTTACTAAGTATAAGTAATAATAAATGTTGAAGAAATAATAGGTCATAGATTTTCTGGTACTCTTAAATGTTTTTTTTTTTCTTTCTTTTTTTCCTTTTTAGAACAGGAAGATAAAAAAGTGAAATTCTCAGATACTTCCCCTATAACAAACCACTTCTCTCAATCAAAGCTGGAATCCCCAGGGAGAATGGAGCCTGATAGACCAGATGATTCTTCCAGTTGTACTGATATTCAAGAAGAAGCTCTTTCTTCATCAGAATCAGACTCATTCAATAGGTAAGAAACCTGTATTACCTGATTGTTTTAGACTTCTGTTTCCTGTGCATGTTAAGATAAATAGGCAAAAATAATTAGAAAATAACTTTGAGGCCCAGGCACCTGTTCCACGCCATTGTCTGTGTGTTTCCTCACCTTCAATAGATGCCGTGTCTGCAGTTCACCAAGGCCAGCTAATATGACCTGCCTCCAGCTCTACTTTGCCCTTCTAACGTTTTTTTTTTTTTTGTAATTTCTGATCTCTTCTTTCTGTTTACCATAAGAGAAAGACATATTTCTTAAGACATTTCTAAAAAATTTTTCCTGTCAGTGAGAAAAAGACATTTAAAAAAAAAATTTTATTACATTTTTAATTTTAACTCCAGTATAGTTAACATAAGGTATTATATTAGTTTCAGGTGTACAGTATAGTATATAGTTCTGTACACTGCTTAGTGCTCCTCATGCTAAGTGTAGTCTTAATCCCCTTCACCTGTTCATTCCTCTCCCTACCTGCCAACCCTCTTGTAACCATCAGTTTGTTCTCTATAGTTAAAAGCCTGTTTCTTGGTTTGTCTCTTTTTTTGCTTTGTTCATTTGTTTTGTTTCTTCAGTTCCATATAGGAGTGAAATCATATGTTGTTCCACTTCAGTCTCCTCTTCTGCTATGTAACTTGCACACTAATAGCAAGCAGGGAAGCATGTGGGAGAGTATTGCAGTAGCCGTATGTATTTTTCCTGGAGTTGGAAAAGGGAGCATGATAGGCATTGATGTTTGTTGACAATGAGTGAAGAAGATAAAGACAGCTACACTAGAAAATAAAAATGACCAGAAAGACAATGCGTAGGAGACTAAAACAAAAAAGAATAATTTAATTGAGCCAAGTAAGAACGGATGGGAAAGCTTTAAAAATGAGAGATTTAGAGGTGAGTTGTTTTTCCAAATGATTTTTTCCCCCCCCAAATGATTTTTTAAAAGATGTTTAAGGGACACCTGGGTGGCTCAGTCAGTTAAGCGTCTGCCTTTGGCTTAGGTCATGATCCTGGGGTCCTGGGATCAAGTCCTGCATTGGGCTCCTTGCTCAGCGGGGAGCCTGCTTCTCCCTTTGCCTGCCACTGTCCTTGCTTGTGCACTTGCTCTATCTCTCACAAATAAATAAAATCTAAAAAAAAAAAAAAAGTATTTTTAAAAGATGACATGTTTTTAAAAGATAACAGACATACAGTTAAATCACTGTATGTATGTATACAATGTATGTATAGATATGTGTGTGTTTATAACTTTTGTGTTTTTCATTTTATATCATAAATCATTTGTACGATCATCTCATCTTTTCTCCCTCATCTTTTGTAGCTGTTTTTCGGTCGGTGCAACGTTCTCTTCTAGTTTTGTACCATAAATGACCAGATTTTCCTCAGTATTCTACTTAAACCTAAAACTGTGGTAAAGCTCTCTCTATATAGAGCCTTTTGTTTCTAATAAGTTATTTTTAACTATATTTTGACCATGTAGGTGTTGCTGCCTTCTGAGTGAATTATGCCAATTTTAAATGCTACCATCAGCATGTAAATATGTTTTAGAAATTATTTAATCTTTGATAATTTCTTCATTTAAGAATTAACAATGCTCTAGAATGATATGTGTATATATTATTGTATATATCTATGTCTAAACTGAAACATCAAATTAAGAAGAAATTTTTTTCTAAGAGGAGTATACCCAAAGACCCTCTGCTTTCCTAGGATTCTGGGAAACTGTTTCATTTTATTCCAGGTTGGATATTAGGAGGGGAAAATATTCTCCCCTCACCCCTAATGTTTTCAATGTCAGTAGCATATCTCAAGTTGGGCAAGTGACCTGTGTGTTGTCCCATTTTGTCTGAGGGCATGATACTGCTGCAAGGTTTCTCTACATCAGGCTGTTCTCCAAGTCCAGTAGGCAGTATTTGCTTTTAAGTACAAGATTTCATTCTTCTCTATAGCTGAATAGTATTCCATCACACACACACACACACACACCCCTTCTTTATCCATTCATCAATTGATGGACATTTGGGCTGCTTCCATATCTTGACTATTGTAATAATGCTGCTGTAAAGGAGACATATTATTTCTTATGGTAAATTTATCTACCTCCTCTAAGACATTGCTTTGCCAGTCGTCCCTCAGGTTGGTTCTTGGATGGCCTCTTTCAGCCCTTCCTTTAATCTTTCTCTCTCATTCTTCCCACTAAGCAGGAAGTATTTTCTACTTCTATGAACTCATGTAACAGTGAATCTGAATTCCATAGCAGCTTTTTTTTAAAGACATATTTATTTATTTGACACAGAGAGAGAGAGAGAGAGAGAGACAGCAGGAGAGGGGTCACAAGCCAGGGGAGAGGGAGAAGCAAGCTTCCTGCTTAGTGGGGAGCCCGACATGGGCCTCTATCCCAGGACCCCAGGATCATGACCTGAGCCAAAGGCAGACGCTTAACTGACTGAGCCACCCAGGCGCCCCTGAATTCCATTGCAATTTATCTAAATCAGATCCTTTCTTGTATTATAGTCATTTGAGTATCTTGTCATTCCTATAATTATCCATCAGAGTCCTTAAGAATTGAGTCTGTCTCTCATTTTCAGAAAAATTTCCTGCTAGTGGTTTCCCACTAGTCTGCAGCTAGTACTAGACCTTTATTTGGTGAATGATTTATTGATTATAAGGCATAACATTTTTTGTTTTACATTTTAGTGTCTGAAATTGTGATGTGTATTACAATCAATGGCGTCTTACAGTTGCTGCCCGCCAAGTTTTGGTCATGATGTCTTACAGTTGCTGCCCGCCAAGTTTTGGTCATGATGTATTTACTGCTTTGTGAGCATCATGAATCTTCAGACTGTCATTTCACTTGAGTCACATGCATTGTTAGCATTACATTGGTCTGTCATTTAAAATATCTTCCACAAAGTAATGAGAGTAAAAAAGATAAAAGTATGAAAAAAGTGCAACAGAGTGTAAGTTTGATGTTAACAAGTTAATATTCATCATTGGATGAATGGCTGCAATTCCATTCTTGAAAAACAATCAAGTGATTTACAGGAGGTAGGGAAGAAAGATACCCACAAGTCTGAAGACTTGTTACAATTTTGTTAATGAACTATGTGCAGAGGATTTTCTCTTACATGACCAACTGAATGCAGGAGAAATGGTTAAATCCCTTGGAATATATAGATGAAATTTCCAAGTAATAACAGCATGACTGATTCACATGTTGGAAAACATTATTGTTAGGGTGTCCCACATCAATTTGTCAGACCCTTTCTGATGTCTTTGAACAGAAACTGCTTCTAGTCATATGCGATGTGATTGAGGAAACAGACAAATTTAGGAAGTGAATTTGCCTTAGAAGAAATTCCTGGAGACAGTAGTCAAGTATTTTCAAGAAATACTGTTATCTCTGGTGACTTTGGTAGTACAAAGGGTTACTTTGTGAGGGAAAACTCACATTTCATAGATAATGAGTCAGAATGTGATGAAGAAGATGCCGGCTCTAAATCTGAAGACATTTTGGTAATACTTTAACCAGTTTATTTCAGTTCGTTCTTTTTTTTTTTTTTTTTAGTATATGCACAATGGTATAAAATAAAAACTTTTATCTACATATATTTATAGAACTATCTGGATATGTAAATTTAAAAATTCTAAGTGAAAAATTCTAAGTGAAAAATTATAGAACTATCTGGATATGTAAATTTAAAAATTCTAAGAAAAATTCTAAGTGAAAATTCTAAGTAAATTTAAAAATTCTAAATGTAAATTTAAAAATTCTAAGTCTTTTTTAAAAAGATTTATTTATTTATTGAGAAAAAGAGAGTGAGTGAGTGGGGAGAGGTACAGAGGAAGAGAATCTTTAAGCAGACTTCCTGCTGGGTGGAGCCCAGTGTGGAGCTCTGTCTCATGATGCATGAGGTCATGACCTAAGCTGAAACCAAGAGTCAGTCACTTAACTGACTGAGCCACCCAGGTGCCCCAGGAAGTCTTATATCATAGTTGAATTGACCTTGATTTTTTTCTAAGTGGCATTAAGTAATGGTTCATCTTGCCATCAGTGTTGCCTTGCCATCAGTGTTTTGAAATGCAGTATTTGAACATGAATAAGGTTTCACTCACTTCAAATACAATTTCATCACCTAGTTGGAAACTTAAAAAGTATGTCATAATACTGGTTGGTGGTAACCTGTCAGAAGACTGTCATGAAGAATAGTGATCCACTGATTAATGCCAGTGTTATTTAGTGACTACAAAACCTAAATAGTCAAAAGAAATACCTAGTCGATTGGGGTAATTAGCTCCATAGAAATCAGGAAAAGAATTCAAAGGGGGAAGAGGACCCATCACAACCAAATGCTTTTAGTAGACTCTTAGCTTATTAAAGGTAAGTCGTCTTTATTTATGTGGTCCAACTTTTACTTTCCATAATATTCAGGGATTAGATGGAAAGTTATTACCCTTATTGAGATATTTTCCAACCCTAAAATTCCATAACTCTGTTATTTTTGATGAGTGTACTAGTTGGTAAGTTACCTGTGTTCTTTTACAACTTGTTCATTTCAGATCATGAGGTAACCTTCTGGAGTATATTTATTCCCTGTATATTAAAATGTTTCTATCTTTATCCCTTTCATTTTTTACAAAAATTTCTTATTTTTCCCTTTGTATGATAGTTTTGTTGCTTTCAATGTAAAACCCCAAATGTTCAAAACCCCTTTAAATTAGATGTTATGCATGTTTATTGTGAAGAATAGAAAATTTAGGTAAACAAAAAGAATAAAATTCCCAAATTTTATCAACCAGAAATAATTTCATGTTAACATTTTCATGTGTAGATCCTTCTGAAGATAGAGATCCATCGGATAGATGGATAGATAGGTGAACCTTTTTAAAACAAAAGGATCATAGTATTTTATAATTTTTTATGCTTTTTTACTTTTTTTAAAGAGAAAAAGTCATGCTTTTTCAGGTCTAATGTGAGTTCAAATATA